CGCGCTATTGTCCTTTCCCGGGAGTAACGCGTTCACCACCACTCCATGCGGATCCTTTGCTTTGCCTGTCTCTCAGTTAGTTCTGTCGATTTCTGCCATCAGCAATCACCTGTCAGCGGGAATAGTCTGGGGAGCCCAAATCGGCAACGAACCCAGTTAAGCTGAGGCTTTAGTTATAATCACACCCTGCCATCAAAAAGAGTAGGCAGTAAATAAAACGGTTAAGATTGTAAAGGCACACTGTGTGGAAAGTAATTGTTGAGCCTGTACCGGTTGTCCGGACTATAACTAGGCGAGTGTAGCGCAGTAGTCGGTGGCGTCCTGCAATACGCACGGGATCGCTCCCCACAGCCCTGGCCCGTCAAGCTTTCCATCCCACCAGGGATTCGGCAAATTGGTACCAAACTTGTCTGGGAGGATAGCAGCACCAGCTTGAAACATCGATAGGCCACCGTTGAGTTATTGTGAAGGTCAAATATGCATTCAGTGACCTCCAACGAAACTTAATGAAGTCGAATGCATTGGGTATCATTCAGGGATTGCTCAACGCCGATAACTTTTATTTCTATCCTTTAATTAGGCTAGTACACAAGTACAGTTAACTACATCTTCTCCGCAGTAACACTTATACAAGTCTACTCTTTGCTTTAGTATTTTATTGTTGCAAGAAGCCCCTAGGTGTCTAACTTGTCTAATGTGTCGAAGTCGAAGCATCAAAGTACCCATACAGCAGAAACGTTGTTACACCTCCACCGAAGCAGAAATTCCCTACAAAGGATTCAAAATAGACAAACAAACTCGTCCGAAAAACTTTGTTTGTAAACAATTAACACACAACCCAGAGATACATTACGTTCCATGGATGCATGGAATAGGTGAGAATGTGGATAAAGTGCACCATAACCAATACATTTCTTAATGGTTTATTTTTCTATACAGCCTTTTTACCGCGCTATTTTGGGCCCCCATTCTACAGCTTATCCAACACACGTGCTACGTCAGAAGTGGCCACTGAAAAGTGTTCTCCATACTTGATAATTCATACGAAATCAGGTTTGGGCCAGTTTATTTATCGGTAACTTGACTGCTTATTGCCCACTCTTTCATTCTAATCGCTATGGTGAATCATGGGCAGCGCAAGGAATAGGCGAATATAAAAGTAGATTAAATATAAAAGTAGACTCAAGAAAAGTTGCAAAGCATCTCCAAGCACTGACTGCAATGTGGTGGTACGGTGGAACACGGCGACCTATAGAAAATATCAGACATATAGCATCTACGCCTCTGCAGAAACGGCGTAAGATCCCACTTCCAATTCCTATTCTCAACACTTCAGGTTTTCTAGTTAAAATGGGTTACAGATGTATCTCTCAGCCTCAGCGCTCGATACGCCTGAGAACTGCGTCCTGAACTCAACTGCACCAAGCACCGTTAGAGCTCACTGAATGCAAATCTCGCTTATACAGTGACACGTGGTGGGCTACCAATGTATCACATCAGGGTTTTACCTTTTGAGACAAGTCTGGCACCGATTTGCCACCGATCCTGGAGAAGGCGACGCATGTCGAGCTCGAGGAGTGGGTTCGAACCAAAGACTACATGGGTGTTGCAGAGTACCTCCAACCACTGTGCTACACGGAAGCTCTAGTTATCGAAACATGTCTAGAAAGCAGCAAATCACAAACTAACTCAAAAACAGGCATGGGCCCACATAGCGGTCGCTGAAATTCAAGCGCCGTGGGTGAGGTGTTAAGGCATGGGATGAATTATCGATTGAAAACATGCGTGCGGCAAAAAAAGCGACCGCAAAGTGAGTTTTTTCCAATTCCGGTCCACTTGCCCCACACTTAGATAGAAATTCGCTTTCAAATCGAACAATGAATGCGATAGAACTTTCTGGAAGAAGTGGTAACTGATACAAGACTTTAGCACAGACGTATGTAACGCTTCTTTGTTCCTTGAAACATCGTACGGAGTAACATTTAGCGAACTTCGACAGCAAACCTAACATAACGGTTCAACATCATTGCATGAGTAAGCTGTGAGTAACCTTAAATAGTCGCTACTATGTCACTGTGCTTGTCTGAGCTTGGAGCGTTGTCACAGAGCTAAAAATAAACCCTGATATGGCCTTATTTCACCGTAGAAGAACCATCGAAATAATAATACTTACTTGTGAATCCAACCGTGAGCAGACTTCTTTTCACACTAAACATCGACAAGGTCACTCTCGCAATGCGAAATTTGCCCACAAATAGACATTTCCTTGTCTATCGTCAAATTAGACTAACATCCTACCCGACAGAGCTCAGAAAGCTATCATAGCTTTCTTCTCATGAAGAACATTAAAAAAGAGGGATATTGGTATTTCTTGACTGATCATTTATAATCCAGCAAGTAACGTGCCCTGCGGCAATGAATGAGGCTTGTTGGTACCCTGACCAGTTACTGGGTGAATGAGAATATTTAAGCAAATAGGTGAAATCCTTATGGAAATGTCCAATTCACTCAAAATATGTTGCTGGAAGTGCAGAAAAGGCATAATCCTTGTGCAAAAATCGGCATTTTGAAAGCCTTAGGTAAAGCGCCATTTTGTTGAGAAGCACTAATATAACTGATTCTTGGTGACTGATTTAAACACTATCTAACTCAACATCTACCAGAGACGCAGAAGTAAAGCAGTGCAGCCAGTTCTTGAGCAGACAAATCCACACCGGCCAAGAAGGATAAAAGGATAGACGGATAAAGCTCTCGGTATTGATCAATCCATGAGGGATGCGCCATGCATTTGACTTCCTTTAAGCATCATTAGAGATGATTGAACGGATATATGGCCAATACGTTGACTCACGGTAGCCTATCGATGTATCGAGCCAGTGCTACTATCCTCCCAGGCAGGTCTGCTACCAATCACACGACTTCGGAGGGATGGAAGGCTTGGTGAACCTAGTGCATGGGGACCAATCCCATGTGTATTGCAAGGCGCCTCTAACCACAGCCATACAGGCGCCCCAAAACAAGTCAAAAAAAAAGTTAAAAACAGTGATCTTCGGCTCACTTCAACAGGTCGGCAAGGAGATAACTAAATATATGGAGCTATTAAAGGTATCTATGTACGAGCCAAATACTCAGTATCATTGAAATGAGTTCATCATTTTAATATCCTACAAAACTGCAACCCTATAAGGTGGTTTCTTCTAAAAGTCAATGGTATTTCACAAAGCTTCTTAAACACAATATTATATGAAAAAAAATGACGACCTATGACCTTCCCTTCGCGCCATCGCAGCCATTATCGCTATCTAACTTTTCATGAAAGTAAAGCCTTTGTGGAGTGGATAGCCTGAATTGATATCCGATGGACTCCATTCCTAGCTTGTTTTCTTTCGTTGTGTGGTTGTACTTCCCTACCAAAGTGGCTATATGGTTAGATCTCTGAAGCTTCATAAGCCGGTTAATTAAAGAAAAATTTTCAAAGAGTTTCACGGGACCTGAAACAGCATTCATTCCTAAAGATAGGTATACCAGTACTGAGAGGTGCGCATGGCGCAGTGGCCGGAGGCATCCTGCAATACACATGGGATCGATCCTGCGCCCGTGGCTCACCAAACCTTCCCTACTTCCAGGATCGGCAAATTGGTACCAGACTTGTCTGGGAAGATAGCAGCATTGGCTCGATACATCGGTAGGCCACCGCGAGTCATTGTAAAGGTCAGATATGCATTCAGTCATCTCCATGCAGTGCTCGATGGAGTCGAATGCAAGGCGCATCCCTCAGAGATTGACCAACGCCGAGAGCCTTATCCTTTATCCTTTACCAGTACTGTTACAATAAGCAAAGACAAAATCTTTACCTAGGCAATCGAACAGATCGAGGCATAGAAATAAGGTGGCTAACTCTTTTTAGAAAGTAAGGGACACAGTTCTTTGACTAAAAGTCAATCCTGATCAGTGCATCATAAGGAAAACATCGCGAGTAAGCAACCAAAAAGTAATATAGATTGAGTCGAATGCTTTCCTAAAAACTGAACTACATCGTAACTTGCAAACTTAAGTCATCCTAGGGTAGCAAACGCTCAATGCCACTGAAGGGCTTCCCTATTGGCGTAATTTCTGATGTTCTATGAAAATACAGTGCCCCAATTTGTATCAGCCATCGGAGACAATGAACTCGTCCGAAGGTATGGCCACCGCCCAATAGACGACAAGATAGGAGACTAGGAAAGTGGAGCAACCTTTAAAAACCGTCTGAATGCGAAAGGTGTGGGTAACTTTAAAGGAAGAAAACAGCTTTGAAATATCAGATGAAGATATTTTTAGCCAACAAACAAGCAGCCGAAGCAGTACAGCATGAAAGAAGCAGCTTCAAAAGTACTAGGTGGATAGTGTTCATAAAGAAATAAAGCTTTTGCGAGAATTCCACCGAATACCGAAAATTTTGGAATGAAATTTGAGATGACCAGGGGTATCAGTGATACCAGATAAAGTAGAGAACCTCCTGCTATACTTTTCGGCTCAATCGATACTGGTAATGCTGCAGGATTAAAGAAAAATCATCGGAGAAATGCTGTCGGCCGCCGAAATTTCTTATGTAGGCGTGGCGACCTGCGTTCCAATGGCGGACGAGTTTCCCACAGAATTTGCTTTGCTAGTTTCAGAATTTTTGGCCGTCACAATCTAAACTGGCTAAGTTTGTCTTCTATTAAGCCTTAAAGTGTTCTGGTTTTTCCCATTTCCCTATATCATGGATTTCTCACCTTACGTTCTTACTTAGTTCTTACACCATAGCACATTCAATGGTCAGTAGCAGAACGTTACAATCCAGAGTTAACAACTCTTGGGCCCAAAATCGGCGTGTGAAGTAGTTTCTTTACATCTATGTTGCAGTCCTAACATCTTATACTAGCTGTCGCTTGTCTTTCTGGATTTTTCGCACTATGTATAGTTTTTCGTCTTTAGATTTTCGACGAGCTAGTCTCTTGCTGAACAACTAGCGGACCATGTCGGCTGCACCGCCTGCTACCGGTGTTGAAGACTCGGCTGACCGAAATGTTGAGATGTGGAAAATCAAAAGGCTAATCAAAAGCTTAGAGCTCGCCCGGGGGTGAGTAGTTTCGTTACGATATTGTTTTCTGGAAACCGTTCTATATTGACCACTTGAGATTTCGTGCAATGGTAATTGTGTTCAGCAACGGAACCTCAATGATTTCCCTAATAATTCCACCACGTGATCAAATTGCTCGTGTACAAAAGATGCTTGCGGACGAATACGGTACTGCTTCAAATATAAAGTCGCGCGTGAATCGGCTCTCAGTACTGGGTGCGATCACTTCTGTTCAGGGTCGTCTCAAGTTGTATAGCAAAGGTATTACTTTTCATATTCTGTTTCATTTTTGAATATTCCGCATATTTCGTACCTGACATAGTGTTGGCGATCAAAGTTAAGTTTCCCGACGGAGGTGTTTTGCTGCGATGTACAGCGGGGAGATTCATCTCTCTAGCGCGGTCTCCACGCCCTGAGAACGAGTGCGGCGTTTTCATCAGGAAGCCCACCTAAGACTAAACCAATATCAGGGTCTACAATCGGCCTGGTATCAAACTAATCGCATGGTGACTAATCTCGCTCTGATCCAGGGGAGGGGGGGGGGGGGGGGGGGGTGACTGGCTGTGATGGTGACGACTTGGAGAGATTTTGGCCTGGCTAACCTCGGTACTCCAGGGAACCACAATGGCTAAACCAGCAAATCTCCGAAAAAATGGAAATTATGCTGATGTCCCACGACCGGTGAAGACGTGCCATCCAAGCATTTAAGTAAATCGGAAATATTCTTCTGGTGTGATGACTTGCCATTATGTCTGTAAGAAGAAAAACGGTATAGGAAGCTGTCGTCCACCCTTTCCTGTGTAAGAGGCTTCATACTTCTAAGCTACAGTGAAGACTCCCTTTTTTTCATCTTCAGTTCAACGAGTTTTTAAAACTATCACATTACAGCAGGCTATAGGTGAGTTGTATCCTGTAGGAAAATATTGTTCCTCTGTTGTAACTAAGAGTGAATTGGCCATCCAGTAATTATTTACTCCCTACTAAGCTTTCTTTGGATGTGAAAATGTTATAAAGTGTGGTTTGAAAGTGTTATATCGGACTAGCTTCTTGTAGTTCCTCCCAATGGACTTGTCGTGTATTGCGGCACAATTGTCACTGATGAAGGGAAGGAGAAGAAGGTCAACATCGACTTCGAACCCTTCAAACCCATCAACACATCACTTTATCTCTGCGATAACAAATTTCACACGGAGGCGCTTCAGGGTGGAGTATTTCTTTAGTTATTTTGAAGCAATTTTCACTCAGACATTCGTTATTTATGAAAGCTTAAAAGCTCTGCCGTTTATGATCTAAAGGGTGTCTTAATCAACAAGTAGCTTCAAGAAATAGTTCGTCATCATTGTTTGTATCCTCCAGGTCTACTAGCGGATGACAACAAATTTGGTTTCATAATTATGGATGGTAACGGGACATTGTTTGGAACGCTGCAAGGAAACACACGTGAAGTGCTTCACAAATTTACGGTGGATCTACCAAAGAAACATGGTTAGTGGATCATCTCTATCGTATTTTAAATTCGTTAGCTATATGTTATCGATATTTCCTAAATATCTGTTTGTGTAGGAAGGGGAGGTCAGTCAGCACTTCGCTTTGCTCGGCTACGAATGGAAAAGCGCCATAATTACGTGCGGAAGGTTGCAGAATGTGCAGTTGAGATGTTCATCAAAAACGATAAAGTGAGGAATATAACGCTTTAGTGTAATTTTAATTCATTTTCCTTTTTTTTCTAGCAAACAATTTGTCCTTCAGGTTATTGTGGCAGGTCTAATTTTGGCAGGTAGCGCGGATTTCAAGACCGAGCTTGGGCAGTCTGACATGTTCGACCAAGTAAGGTTTTCCCTCTTTTTTATCATTGAAAGTAATAGGTGTGCAATAGACTATTAGACATTTCAAAACCGACTTTCCTTTAACCTCAGTATGACTAATCAACATGTGTTCTCTCTTTGATTAGCTTACACGAGATTGATTTATAATTTTTATTCTGCTAACGTTTCTATGTTTTCGTCTTCATTAAACCCGAATATCCGAGTCGTGAACATGAACAACTGTGAACCATCTACTGGGATCATCAGCCGTGATAGTCTATTAGATAGTTGCCTTTTGAGTATTTCGTAGTTACATATGCCAATTAGGATTGCTTGCTTGTTGCGTGAGTAGATGGTGTTTGTGATGATAGATCTTATTTATAAATAGGCTGAAAAACGGTTTAATCCTACTTCATTATTTTATTGAACAAAATGACTCCTAAAATCTACGCTGTTACTAATCTATTAGAGCTAAACGTTTTCTGTAAGATACAACTTTACTTGTTCCAGTAGTTCGAAATTTTGATTTTTTTTGGGCTAACGCTTTGAAAGCATTTTACACAGTGATTTGATTGTCGAAGATTTTCTCTCTTAGTAGTTGCCAAGATTGACGGAAAGAAAATGATAGTTTATAAGCGGAAGTTCGATAGACGGAGTGAATGAGGCCCCAGTCCGGACTCAAGTGATTAAATTTTTCAACATTGGCGGGAGAAAAGTGTGATTGGGTTCTTTGTTGACCGTTCCTGGATACAAATGCTGCATTTTTGTAGGATTTCATCAATTTTCTTGTATGACTTCTCCTTTGTGGATGTTTCACCAGAACTGAAGACTATGTATTCTATGATTTTCTCTGCCAATAGTTGTTAAGCTAAATGTCGTTGCTTGTCGTATAGATCTCCCTTTTCATCGCATTTCAGTATTATCGGGAAATGATATTGGACCCAACGTTTTATTTAACCCTTTTGTTTTTATTGCGGGATACTACGTTTAACACAACCCCAAGGATGCTGATATATGGGCAAAACTCAGAATCTCAGACGGTCTTCGAACCGGCTGTTACTCTTTGCGGGGGCTCACGTGCTATCTACCGAAGCCATTGGTTTTCCTTTCCTTCAACCACTTTTTTTGCTCTACTGGTCTAGAAATAATCAACCGTTAACGGGAATAATCTCGGGAACACAAATCGTGTGTGGAGATGCTCGGTAGGTATGGTGGATAGCACATGAGAAAGGGTAGTCGCTGGTTCGAAGTCTAACTGAGGTTCCCAGTTTTGTTCCTGTCTCAGCATCCCTGTGGTGATATTGTGCTCCGTTGTATAAAGAGAACAAAGAGCGGACATCATGACAACGTCGTTGCTTCTCTTTATTTTCGGATCATTCGGCGAACTTGTTTTGTTTTTTGACATTTCCACTTCTTTCAAATGACCCACTACTGTTGTATCGTTTTTTTTTAAAGCCTCTCAACTAGACTTGAAGGGGACAGCTTCAGTTTCCGGCTTTAAATTGTTGCCATCAAGTATTGATAAGCGCTTATGACCTTCTCCTTCATGAAGCTTCATGTATTCCGCGAGAACGTTAACAATAATTAGTGTACTATATGCTCGGAAGCCTTTCTCTGACCTGTGACCCAAGTTTTTACTGTTGTTTTATGTCTACGTTTGGGACTGGTCTAACATTATTGCCAACCAAGTTTTGGAAAAAGAACTGTATTATCGAGCGAGAAAATCTTTCAGAACGCTTTACTTAATCAGTGCTATCATGACGTCCATCTTTATTTTCGCATCAACTAAGTAAAATGAGGATTCGTTTGAGATCCTCCATACCGATGTTATATTAACGTCTATTCACTACTTGACTGCACTGTTATGTTCAGTGCTCATGTAAAATTTGTGCTAAATGGACATTGAATCCGTCTATGATTTTATGCCAAATCACCTAGCTATTTTGAACGTGGGCCTCTTCTCTCTCATGGTTCTATAAAATTTTCTTCGTCTACAACGAAGTCCTACAGTAGTGTCGTTGGTTTTCGACTCAAAAATCATGTGCATGAGAAGTGTTTATATACTACGTATATACCGTACGTATTGGTCGGGACGCGTGTAGCGCAGAGGTCAGAGGCGACTTGCAATACACACGGGATTGATCCCTGCACCCGAGGATCATCAAGCCTTCTATCGCTCCGGGTAAGGCAGATTTGTACCAGACTTGTCTGAGATGATAGCATCACTGACTTGACACATCGGTAGGCTACCACGAATTATTGTAAAGTCCGCATATGCGTTCCATCCACTCCGGCGATACTTGGCGTAGTTAAATGCAGGTGCATACCTCAGAGATTAATCAGCACCGAGATCATTATCCTTTTTTATACCGTAAAGTTTTGGTCTTGATAGTGGGAATCTTTAAGCGATTTACTTTGACATACTTTTCTTCTGTTTCTTTTACTATTGACAAGTGAAGGGGTTGCACAAATGTAATACTGCTAGGTTATTTAAATTGCTGACCGTTTTCAGCGCCTACAAGCGAAAATGGTCAAGACAGTGGATATTTCTTATGGTGGAGAAAATGGGTTTAATCAGGTTTGGTTTCCTCATATATGGCATCACGCTTTATATGAATTTTTGTGGAATTTGTTTTATTTCATACAATTATAGGCTATTGAGCTTGCTGCTGATGCTCTTGCTAATGTTAAATTTATACAGGAGAAGAAATTGATTGGTGGATACTTTGATGAAATCAGTCAAGTACGGGAAGTTCTATTTAATTTGATTGTGTTTTATAATAGAAATACTCTGTCTCAGGATACTTCTTCCTCTTAAGACTTGTTTTAACGCCACAAGAGTTAACTTTAGGCGGGAAATTTTTTTTCTTGCTCAGGACACTGGTAAATACGTTTTTGGAGTGAAGGATACGTTACAAGCTCTTGAGATGGGAGCTGTGGAGACCCTCATTTGCTGGGAAAATCTGGACATTATTCGTTACAAGTTGAAAAACGCCAATGGAGGTAAACGCTTGTTTTATTGACTAGTTATAAGGAAATTCTATAGTCAATGTTTTTGTTAGAGTAGCAGGAAGGCTGTGGTTAGTGCTTTTAACTCATAGAAATTGCAAATGTCATTAGCAGACTCTGGATGACTCACATGCTGATGAAAGTTATTGTTTCGGTTTTACTACATAGGCGACGACATGAGTCACATATGACCCTGATGTGCATATTATCATTTCCTTTGTGTTTGTTCTCTGTGTGTGTTGTTTTAAAATTTGCCTTACTTTTGTATCTATTGGGTAGCTCGTCCAACACAGGTGTTGCAGCGGTGTTCAACCGAGAACAGTTTTATTCTACTGGCTTCGAAGTGTAAGAAAAAATGCTTTTTGTGAGGGTTTCTTTCTCTGATTTGAATCCTGCGGCAAAAGCACCACAGAGCGTTGTTGGTGAGAGTGCTAGCAGAAGAGTACCGCATATGGAGAAGATACTAGAATGACGAAGTACTTGTATTCCATCAGTCTCGTGTTGATTACTCATTGCCCTTTGTACCGACGGAGAAGCACAAGAACTTGGAGAAGGTAACGAAAAGTTGGCGGTCCGTTAGGTCAGCGGCCGAAATCTTGGTATCGCCTCATGTGTTCGCCGTGCAAAATTAAGCACTGTCTGCAAAGTGTTAACCGAACATTCCTCACCTCATGGCGAGCTTTCTAAATTTGAATAAAACCTCCAAAATCTACAAGTTTTTGAAGACTGCGATAAAATTCTGATATTCTCCGGATACGAACACGATTTTGTTCGCTCGTCTAGGCTCAACATCTCCAGTGACAAAATTTTTGAAAAAAGTCGTATTCCGTAGCGTTGGTTGGTTTGGTGACTCTGATATACGTCGTAAATTCATCGGCATTCGCATGTTAACATTTTTGCGGCTTGTCTGTTTTTTGAAAGCTTACTCTATGTGGAGTTCAGATTTGAAATTGAACTATTATTTTAGAAGGACTACAAAAATTTTTGGAGCAATGAGATGAAGTATCTTCAATAATTTCGTTTAAGAGTAGAAGTGCTCTGGTTATCGTGAAGTTATCATATCACGAATTTTGGAAAAATTAGTACAATCTTGATAATGATGAGCAGGGATCAGTGGAGGTTATTTAGAAGAAAAATTGACCTTAAGTTGGTAATTAGATAAAAGTATTTTTGAAATCTTCCCCGAAGTTCATTGAACGGTAGTATATGGCAAGGCACTGCGAATAATTTGAGTATGAAAATATATTTTTCGAGCAAACAAGTTGAGTGAAAGTTACCTGGCTATGTATTGTGTTGGAATCAATTAACTCAGCATCTGTACAAGTTCCTCACTTATACACTGAGTATTACGAGGCTTATTAGTAATCAGAATAGAAAATGGGAAATCTAGTGATAACCTAGGAACTATGAGTAACTGTTATCGCCACTGGTACTTGATACGTGGTACTTGAATGGCCCATTTTCGGAGTTTTTCTGGTTTAGCTATTGTGGTTTTCTAGAGTCCCGAGGCCAGTCTGGCCAAAGTGTTGTTTTATGTTATGTTAGTGTTATTGTTGTGTTGTTTTTGTTGGTTAAAGTGTTCTCATTGGGTTATCGTGCATGGTTCTCGCCACTGCTATTAACTTGAAACAGGAAATACGTGGAAAGTAGTTCGAAAGAGAACTCTTTTTTTCATCAAGCTACAGATATGGCTGAGTTGTAAAATTATTTGCCGTGTTTGAATAATAATGACTACTACATGGCCGTTATGGTATAAACTGTATGCGTTTCCATTATCAGTTATTATTAAATGAATTTTTGATTTATAGAAGAGAAGGTCCTCAATCTAAGGCCAGATGAAGAACGAGACAAGTCACATTTTACCGATAAGGAAACCGGTCAAGACATGGAAATTGTGGAGACGATGCCCCTTCTTGAGTGGTTTGCTAATAATTATAAAGTAAGTAGTAGCATTGTTTGATTTTTATATGAGGATTTTTGTAAACGATAATTGTGTCTTTGACGTTTGACTATCTGTTTCCATGACTTTTTCTTTCTTTTCTGTTGTAGAATTTTGGTGCTACTCTCGAGATTGTCACGGATAAGTCACAAGAAGGTGCTCAGTTTGTGCGGGGATTTGGAGGAATCGGAGGTAGCTTTGATTGATGTTAATTAAGCCTTTCACTCAGTATTTTCCCTCAGTAATATTGAGTTGTGTACTGTGTATAGGTCTGCTACGTTACCGGGTCGACCTGATGAATGAGTTAGCTGACGAGCTTGACGAGATTGACTTCGATGACTATTGACCACGTGCGGCGGCTGGCGATCACTGGGACACCTTTTTCTCGTTTCTTTTTTCTAAAATTCATAGATTTTGGGTTAATTTGTTATTATTTTCTCATAAGTCAAATTCCATTGATATTTTGCGCATAGTGAATATCTTCATTCAGCTCGTTTCTTGTCGTACTCATTTTGCTTCTCGCAATAACACGTATTTCTCCACCATCGATGTAATTAAGTTGGTCTTTTCTCACATCTGGCCCCACCGTTTGTGTCGCTGTGCCGCCGTACGAAGATCACTGAGTAGGTCCGGTGTCGATGGGGCTTGGAAGCAGTGTATTCATCGCATTCGCGTTGCATCACTCACAGCATCAGAAGAGTCCTTCACAAAAATTTCGACTATTGGCTATGGGTTCGTTCCATATAGATTTTCGGTCTATTTTACATATTATGCTAACTGAAGAGATTTTCATTTTAGTTCGAGGTGGGATGCGTTCATGGTTGTTTGTGGGTAATTGGTTACACCCACTAGTGCGTACGAACATTCTCTCTCGGCTACGTTCTTCATCTCGCCCGAACGAGTCATTGTGTGCAACCTTCAACGATGACCGTTTTTAGAAGACTTCTTTTGTTGACTGGGTCAAACTAAAGTTGTGATCGTTGTTCTTCCTAGATTTTCTTTTCTTGAGATTTTTTATAGGTCACATTTTATGTGGGAGAATCGTTCAGTTATATACTGTTTTTCTCTACACCTTTTAAGGGTGTCAGTATCTCTTACCTAACGTTTTGTGACGGCTAATTTGTCTGCATGTCTGGTTATACAGAGAGTCTACAAGTAAACATTCTGTGACCAAATGGCTAGTTCTCATCGTAAGTGGTGATTCAATATCTTGATATACTTCCTACTTATTCCATCGCTTCGTTAAGTAGCAGGGCCTAAGCACAGTCGTGTGAATGTGTGCTCAGAAGTGCTTTAGCTGTTTAGCCCTATATATGTATAAGTATATATACATATACATATCCATATATACACATATAATTAGGATTTAAGGATAGTTGAAAATAAGTTGAAAATCTTCTTACATTACTTAACTTGGATTCTACCTCAGTTTCTATTTGTTTCTTTCTCATCCTGTTATTCACAATGATGTTCCTTCTTTCAAACAGCAACATGTGAGAGCACCATCCACTGTTGGTGAGTCTCTCCTGTTTCTAGTCAGTGGATCGGTTCAATGCGACCGTGGTGCATATATGGAATTCTGTTGGATAGAAAGGCACTAAAACGAATACTGAGTCGGAAATGACCAGGATTGAATTTTCGCCCGTTCATTTGGATGGTGACGTTTTCTGAAAAGGGGTTTGACGACTCAACTTTTTCATTCCTGCGCAAAGTAGCTCATTCGTGTCGTTCCCAATGTTATCAGCTTGTCAAGGAACCAGAAGCGGATTTAAATTTGTATTTTTAAAGTGGGATGTCGCAATTCAGAGTAAACTATTAGTCGAACTAGGATCCATTAGAATTTACATAACGTTAGCTTTTTTATTTACTGCCTATTACAATTTTTCACGGCAGGGTATTATATGCGATGCAGCCACAATGGTGGTAAAGATATTTGCAAAACTCCGGACCGCAAGTGTCTGCGGTGGGTAACGAGCGCCCTATTACTCTTTCCGGGAGCTAACGCGTTTACCACCACACTATGCGTGTCCTTTGTTTCGTCTTTCTGTCAGCTAGTTTTCTTTCTAACAGTGCCATCAGCAGTCACCCTTCAACGGAATTGATCTGGTAAACCTAAATCAGCAATGAACCCAATTAAAAATAAAAAAGCTAACATTGTGATTTCGACTACAACCTCCGCTCAACTGGATTACTGTTAATTAGTGAATTTTATGGAATAGACCTTATTATTATTTAGTGGGTCTCCATTAATGGATTGATGCGAAGGAGAATTCATATGTTTTCCACATATTAGTGCTCGTTTCCTCTTTGTTCTGCTCTCAATTTGCTTTTCCTGCTTCTTTGAGCTTTCTGAGCTTCGTCTCTTCTTCACTGAAATTCCTGTCTATCTTACAATGCTGTACATTTCGCTGTCCACTGAAATACGTGGTCTCCTTTTCTTCCTGTGGAAATGGAGGAAAGGCAGTGAGCTTTCCGTGGTGTAATGGCAAGTGGACGAGAGCTGATATTATGGCGATTTTTACGACGATGTTTCAGGCTTTTCAGAGTTATTCAAGGGCAAGTGGTATTTTTGACAAGCCTTCATGACCATAACTGAGGTCTGTTCAACAAAATACTTGTCTTATTTTGCTTGAATAACTGGTCAACTTCGTTGAAAGTTCTTAATTTCTGCGATAGGATGAATTTGTAGAAGTGGAACACGGTCAAAAGGGAAATTGATTCGTAGTTACAAACGTACTATCGCTTAACTTTCATGGGCAGATTGGCAGTGGACGAGGTTCTGTAGTGGTCAGAGAGATCCTTTCATTTTAAAGTCATGTTCATTGTGAAAAATGCGTCTGATCTGTGGCTTCTAGCTTCAACTGAGTCAGTTATGATGTTTCTTCATGCTTGTGTTCGCATCTCGGACTTCCGATGTAGCAATTTGGGACGGTTTTCCTTCAGGGACCGTGAAGCCAGAAACAGTGCTTATGAAGCAAATAGGTTGAGGTTAAATTTCTCCTTTATCAATTCCACATTTTTGCGGAAACTATTGATAGTTCTTTCGTAATTCAGTAGGATTAATGGCATAGGACCCTATATTCTCATACGCCTCGGGAGTATTTCTTTTAGCTTACCACTTCTGAGCTGCTTTCTACAGTTTTCTCGGCCTAAATGGATGTAAGTCTTTATGCAATCTTCTGGAGCTAACACCGTTCACAGAGCATATGTAGGTATCATTCTGTACAATCAATCTTAGTTTCCTATGTCATGTTTCCTTTTCCTCCTGCTGTTAAGACAAATTTGCATAACTGCACGGCTTGATGAGTAGCAGCTGGGTATAGTCTTCTTTTTCCTACGCCGCGAAATTCTAGAAGAGAAACCTTACAAGCGAGGTGAAAAGATATCGTATAAGGAAATGATAGGCAGCTGGTAGCTGTGCGATGAAACATAAGCCTTCGTCATTTTGTGGCAAGGTTTTTTCCTCTTCGATTGAGGAAGGTACATTTTTAGTAGACATGTCGATCCTGATTTTTTACTAAGTGGACGAGTAACCTATAATGGTACCGTTTATCATAAGCATATTAGTGGTTTAACCCCTCCACGGGCTCACCAAGCCTCTCATCTTCCCGGAGTCGAGATATTGATATCAAATTTGTCTGTGAACAGTTCAGTATCTGCAATACAGGTGAGGACGCTCTAGCAGGAAGATCTTCGTGAATAATGGATGCGAAGAAATGAATCGAATGCAAGAAGTACTGGGATCCGTACAGTAGATGTGAAGTTTGGTCTTGTAAAATAAATAAACACATCGGTAGTCCCGTCATTCTGAACTGGTTCCGATCACTGCCTTCTTCGCGCAAAGATCCGATTCAGCCGTAAGCTGAAAAAAAATTCGTGTTATCAACCATAAGGAAAAAGTCTAGCTGTATACGACAAGAACATTCTAAAAGAAGTCCTGTCCAAACGTGACTGGCAGTTTAAAGAAGATCCGTCCGAAGACTACGAGCTGCTTGTCGAAGGACTGAAAAGCTGTACCGAGTTCGCTTCAGTTCCTCATACAAGAAGATCGGATCGCATCTCCATCACTACTAAGGAGTTGCTCGAAAAGAGAAGGAAATTGAAGCTTGATCCTACCGCAACACCTCAAACATGGCTAGTAATAAATGCTAGCTTCAGAAGAGCTTTGCAGGAAGATCTACAACGGCACAAGCGGAAGAAAATACTGGAAGCAGCAGGGATAAGAATCAGTCTGAAGAAATGCCGTCAGGACTTGTGTGATTATAGTGTTTCGCTGTCAACCCTGACGAACAAAGATGGGATTGTCAAAGCTTTCCGCCGTGATATACAATTAATAGCGGAAACGTTCTACACCAACCTTTCCCGTTCCACAATCCCCGTCCCGGGCCGTAATATCCCCGCTGGAGAAAAACCACCCGGAATTCTTCCGTCCGAGGTTCGAGTTGCGATAGAAAGCGTGAAAAGAGGCACAGGTCTAGGGTCCGATGATATCACTGTCGGTTTCCTTAGAGCTGGAGGCCACAATTTACATGTACGCCTCGCAGGTCATATGACAGGCTACCTTCAAAAGGAAAAAATCCCAGAGCAGTGGAGGAGGTCGCGCACGGCCATCCTGCCCAAGAGGGGAGACCGAAGGGTTCACCGTAACTACCGTCCCATATGCTTGTTAAGTGTACTCTACAAGCTTTTCACGAAGATTATCCTCTCGCGCATATCAAAGACATTGGATGAGGCGCAACCAGTCGAGCAAGCAGGATTTCGAAAAGGATTTTTCTGCATCGACTACATCCAAACCATATCCAGGGTCATCGAAGTTTGTCGGGAATACCACTTGCCTCTAGTCTTAACCTTTGTCGACTAAAGCGCTTGACAGTGTCGAAACGAATGCAATCCTATCAGCGCTCGTCGACCAAGGAGTAGACCCGTCCTACATAAAGACTCTGTCCGACTGTTATCGGAACTGCACTACGAAAATACGGCTTTTCGATCGACCTCTTACAATACCCATTGGAAACGGGGTTCGGCAGGGCGACACAATATCGCCGAAGCTGTGCCGCACTGCAGTGGATAATGAAGTCACTCGATTGTTATGAGAAAGACATACGTATTGATGGAAAATTCCTATCAAACCTTCGTTTTGCCGACGACATTGTCATCTTCTCAAAAAGTTCTAGCGAAGTAGAGGTGATGATCAACGAGCTCAATGAAGCGGGAAAAAGATCGGTCTTCGCATAAATCGAAGGAAGACCCAGTTCATGAAAAACCCATGATGCGAAGGCGAAAAATTGAATTGGTTTGCTTTCTCATTGCAGAGACCACCTCGTACGTTTACCTTGGACGATCAATGAACATGGAAAACAACTTGGAGGAGGTAGTAGAGAGAGGAAGGAGAGTAGCTTGGGCTGCACTCGGGCCTCTGAAAGAAGCCACCGACGAACTGAAGGACCCGAAAATCCGCGCTTATCTTTTTGATTCTACGACCCTTCCAGCGCTCTGTTATGCTGCAGAGACGTGGGTCTTCAACTACTAGTTGATACTTCAACTACGTCAAGAATGCTTCGCACTACTCACAGAGCTCTTGAGCGATGTTTTCTGAAATATAACCGGCACTTTCAATATGTAGCCGGAATGCGAAGCTCTAACCTTCGAAATCTGACACAACTTCGAGGTCCAGGAGAATATACATCGACAGCGAAGCATAGATGGGCCGGTCACATAATATGAAGGAAGAATAAACGACAGATGGACGAAAAGAACAGCAGAGTGGATTCCAAGAGAATGCAAACGTTCCCTTCCACGACCACCTACACGTTGGCCGAACGTGTTCGTACAAAGTTAATCAGCTGTACCCGCAGCTGCAGTTGTTTTACAGACCGCGATATGAGACTTGCAAGCGCTACCATGCTCGAACAAGAACACCACCATGGACTGCGATTGCGAGAGAAAGGAACGAATGGAAGATGTGCTAGGGTCCGCACAGCTCGTGAAGACGAAGCGTCCATGTATCCAAGTAAATAAAATAAATAAAAGTAAAAGGTGATCGCGTGGAGTTTAGCTTGATTTGTAAACTCAAGAAGATGCTGAGGACCGGCATTTGGGGAGACTGTTCTGATGTTACGTGTATAGAGCGAAAGACAGCTTCAGTCGGATTTCACGACTGGAAGTGCTGGTGTAAGAGGTGCCGATGCTGGATTATTGCTGATTGGGCAGTGAGTTCTTCCTGTAGTTCCGAGTAAGCATAGGTGGAGTTGGATCAGGAACCACCTTGTCACTAGTTGAGAGGATTACAGATTTGTGTTTTTTCATATTGATACTTTTTTTGGAGCTTCACGAATGGATTTTCCCATCTCGAGATTTAACAAACGTGGCTTCGCCAAAGACCCGACATCCCAAGTGTGTCCTTTGCTTGAAGAACTGTTGCGCTATATAAATAATTGGTGAAGTCGAATAGGATTAAGAAATTTGTCGGTAGCCTTTGTTGAAGGGTGCTCACACATCTCCGTTTCTGTTCTAACGAGCCGTTTTTTAAGTCGTATTAGTAGAACGACAAACATGTGCATAGAGTATGGCTTGCTCAATTGATGATACATCTAAGCTGCTGTCATGTGTATCAGGCGTTTTTCAGAAAATGTGATTCCTTTTGGTTACAAAACCACAGTGATGCTGGGATATTTGCAAAACTCCAGAACATAGGTGTCTGCAGCAGAGATTGAACACGCCATTGCTCTTCGCGGGGGCAACACGTTCACCACCGCAGCACCCCGGTCCTTCATTTCGCCTTTCTCTCAGCCGTGTTTTTGACTCATGGGTGCTTTTGCTTAATTCACAGTTTGTTATTTCGCAGTGCTCTAGGGTTATAATCTATTTAAGAGTTTATTTCTTCCTTTGTGGTAATGTTGGAAAAATGGCAAATGTCGTCAACAAGACGAAACCTAGGTTCGGGTGGTCCCGTCCATTAATGTTTCCCTTTTCTTCATCTCTGCCAAATGATTGTGGGCACCACCATGGCATGAAGGTGAACAAGTTCGGCTATTGTTTGTCGCATTGTCGTATTTGTTAACCTGTTAGAATAGTGAGTGGTTAATGGAAAACCTGTATCGTTGTTGTTCGATGACTATTGCATCCAGTAAACAATTCTCCATAACAATCGTGCAAACCCTGCTCAATTATGACGGAGAGGTTGCTGGTGGTCGCCACCTTTGTTTCTATGTGTTTCCTATAATTAACTCTCTTGATAGGGGCGCGCGTGGCGTAGTCGGGAGCGCCCAGCAACACACTCGTGGAATCGGTCATTGCGCCCATGGCCCACCAAGGCCTCCATCCCCCCGAGCACTTCAAATTGACACCAGACCTGTCTGGGAAGATAGTAACACTGACTCGACGCATCGGCAGGCCACCGCGAGTCATTGTAAAGACCAGATATGAATTCAATCACCTCCAAACGACGCTTAATGAAGTCGAATGCATGGCGCATCTTTCAGGCATTGATCAACGCCGAATGCTTTATCTTTTATCTTTTAACTCTCTCGATTAACTCCGCATCCTCAGTAGATTTGAGTTTATTCAAGTCTTCGACCTGCATGCGGTGGTAATCTTCCTGAAAAGCTTTTGGAGCCTGCTTTCTAACACTTACGCGACGATATGGCCTCTGTTGGAGCCAGATGGTACGAAAACAATGGCTCCTCTCAACTTTAAATGGACATATCTAAGGTCATAGTGAATTTTTTAGTTGCAAAAGACACACAGAATCCATAGATTTTTTTTGCAAGACAAAAGCCCTCTTGTTTTAGCACAATGAAGTTCCGAATTTCTGGAGCCCGTGACATGACATATGTGTATTTCTGCCTTATTGCCTCAAGACTCATATTCCGAGCACGAAAACAAACGAATAAGCTTCGTTTCGCCCAGTTCGTTGGAAATTTTAACTATTTAAACATCGGTTGCAATTTTTTAGAACTCTTGATTTTAAGTATATCTGGTTTTGAAACATGGTTGATCACAATTACTTATATACATCTTTAAAGTTAAGAAACTCCTGAAATCCTCTAATGGTCCAGAAACCATCCACGATATCTAAAAACGAACTTCATCACGAAAGGGTTAATTTGGTCGTACGGTATTTATGAAGTTCATCGCTGTTACTCAACGGAAGTGTGTGCGAGGTCCTGTACCGTAGTAGGAAGTTCCAATTGCATTCACAAATTTCTCCGAGAAATTGTGTTGGTGGTGTTTTTTTCGGAGAAGATAATAGTGTTTCCTACAGACATTGTCGATTACAGATCTCTCTGTAATCCATTCCTCCTAACAACAGGAAATTGTAGTTTACCTCTTTGCTGAGTGCAACAAGAAGCGGTTTATTGTATTTGTGAAGGTCTCAGTACCTATTCACACTTCTCACTCCTGCCGCTCCCATAATTCTCACTTCTGGTTCTAGATTAGGGTCTTACGGTACTTCCGTTTAAGAACTGGCTCTTCATTTGATATATATGGCACCATAGTGTTGTCGCCAGTGACTTCTCGTCCTGAGGTTCCTAGTTTTGCTTGATGAGCTTTCAGAGCTCGTTTTTCGATTAAAAAAGTAAAAATTTTCGTGAAGTAATAGAGCTATAATAGGTACTCCCACAGAACAATTTCAATTTCCATTGCGATGTTCTAATCCAAATTTCTTGACCCTGAATTGTTACTATTGTGCGGTTACTATTGTTTCGTTTACGTCATTCGTAACAAATTTGCACTTTTCGTAAGGACTTCAGTTCCTTGAGGTGTTCATAAAGCGTTATTGAGAGCCGTATCATCAGCTGTCTATATTGGAGATTAGTAGTTACTGATACTAATTTTCTGGAGATGAAGAAATTGAGAGCGCGGAATGGAAAAAAAGAAAAATTTTATGGGAATTGATGGGGTGAGCAACAGATAGGTGAGGCTACGATACAAAGTAAACGTCACCGAGATTTTAAGGGATGAACTTTTCTGATCTAAAGAACCAAGCATAGGAGAGGTTCATGTGTGGACGGGTAGCCCTTTTGTTCTTTGTTTCTTGAAGAGCGTTCACTTCGGATTTAGTATGGTCTTTGACGTCTAGAAAGATATAAAGGCCGTCGTGCTGAGAGACAGACGTGATGTTCTTTTTCCATAATCGCATGCAGTCTCCATGACTTGTCCTGGGTGTATTCTTTCCTTTCAAATCTCAAATCTAGTGACGTCTTTTCTCGGAAAACACTAAGAGGCAACGAGCTTCTTCGGTATTGGTTTCCTGAAAAAAAAAAACTGTACAGGACTTCCCAACGGGTACTTGCTGGTTATTATGAACGAGGGTTTGCTCAAACATGGGCAGTTAAATATATGATTAGTTTGGAATTCTATAGATACCCTTAGAGGTATTGGGCAAAACTTCTATGATTTTATCAGTTCTTTAGCTTCTAACACGTTCGGGTCCAATAGCCAATAGGCGCGTGTGGCGCAAAGGTCGGAGGCGCCTTGCAATACACACGGGGTCAATTCCCGCGACTCTGGTCCACCAAATCCTTCATCCCTCGAGAGTCGGCAGATTGGTCCTAAACTTGTCTGGGAGGATAGCAGCACTGGCTCGATACATCGGTAGGCCACCGCGAGACATTGTAGAGGCCACACATACACTAAATCACCTTTAACGATGCTTAATGAAGTCGAATGCATGGCACATCCCTAGGGGATTGGCCAACGCCGGGAGCTGTATCGTTTTTATTTTTTAACCTGTTTGGGCTGGTTGTCGTAAACCCTGCTCTGTTGTAAGTGTCCTGAGCAATGTGACGTCATCGATAAACTGCCCGTTATCATGGGGGAGGGCAATTATGCCTATTTTCATTTTTCCGTCACAGTCGCCATATGTTACTTCCTTCACTAATCCTTTGTGCGCTGCAGGAGAACAACTCCACCATGGTGAGGAGCTCGTAGTCATTTCTGTATGCTCTCTCTACTAGACAGTGAAAGCACTTTGCAACCTTGAGGTAATGTTGTTTTTGAAGACAAGCCACCTTTCCCAGGTCAGGCTCCTTCGTTGTAAGCTCCTCCTACTAGTGTTGGGGTTTTGTCATCGTTCTGTAAACTATTAGCACAGAAGTTCTTTTGAGAACTATAAACTTTTAAGCGAAAGGTGATCGAACGAATAGCTCCGAAAAATTCTCAAAATTCCAGTGAGCACATTCACGTTGAAGTTTTACAGCCAGAATATAAGTTAGAGGGTTATTGTGTTATTGCCGTTGTTATTCATGTCTTATTTTTACGATTTTTTTTTATTTAGCCGGTGAAGGATATGGGCTTGGACAATTCGACGGTTGTTGTGACCTGCATAGTGGTATTAGTCTCCACCATAGCGGCAGTGTGGTTTTTCAAAAAGAGAAAGTGTATTTTCTCAGGCAGTTGGAGTAAGGTAGGTTTTAAATGCATTCAATTACTCCCATCCTAAGCTCCTTTGCAAACTCTGTAGTGTAAAGGAAGTCATTTACATAAATCCTGGGCGTTTTTAATCTATGAACATTATTTATTTAGCATCCTATTACGTTGGTAGATGAGGAAACAAAGTACGCTCTTCCACTGGTCGAAAAAATAGTAGTCAGTCATGACACTAGGAAATTCCGTTTTCGGCTCCCGTCTGACAGCCATATTCTTGGCCTTCCTGTTGGAAAACATGTCTATCTAAGTGCTAAGGTGATCTTTTGGTCTTTGATCAATAGTACGAAAGTGTTGTTTCACTCAGGTGATCGGTAGTATTTTTCTCTTGAAAAAATTGTGAAATCAAGGAAATCAGGTAGATATTACGTCCTTGTAGGTCTTCTTCGTTTATGTTATATTTGTGCTTATAGTTTTCAAGCTGTTCTTTGTGGAGCGAGAATGTTATTAGTTACGGTTTCCATGAAAAGTGAAGTGCGAAAGTGCATGGAGTTAACTGATTTTGTATCAGCATTTCACTTTATAGGTTTAGCTTAATGTTTGGCTATTTTTGCAGATCGATGGAAAACTTGTTGTTCGTCCTTATACCCCTGTGTCCAGCGATCATGATTTGGGTTACGTGGAGCTAATGATCAAGTTGAGTAACTCGTGGTAGAGTTTGTAGTCATTGACGTCATCACTTTGTTAATTCTGTTGGTATAGTCCTATAATTATTGTTTCGCTTCGGCTTTTTATCTGACATTTTAGGTTTACTTCCGCAATGTTAATCCAAAGTTTCCGGAAGGTGGAAAAATGAGTCAATATTTGGAACAAATGAAGATTGGGGACACGGTTTGTTCGTTGTGGCTCATTTTGAAGCTAATGTTTGGCTACCTTCTACCTCAACGCTTTTAGATTGATTTCCGAGGCCCTTCTGGATTAATAGTTTACAAAGGAAACGGCAAATTTGCTATACAACCGGACAAAAAATCTCCACCCAAAGAACGTGTTTTCAAGGAGGTGGTAATGATTGCTGGTGGCACTGGGATCACACCGATGTTGCAAGTAAGTTCTTTTTCTTTTTGCGGAGGAACAATTGTTTATCACTAATGAGAACACAGTGGATTTTTAGTGGTTTTGAGCAGGCGAGTACTTGTCGGATCTTTTTAGAAATTAAAGATTTGTCGACCTAAACAAATACTTCCATCTTGAAAATTGTATTATCGTCTTAAATTGAGTATAAGGCATCTGTCTTCGTTCAAAAATTGATTCTCAAGATGACCAGTTAAAGACAGTTTAACCTATAAGCGTACTACGAGAATTGTTTATTTTCCTGATGAACAGTTGCAAAAAAGCGATTAGTGGTTCAAATTAGGTACAATCCCAGTAACTTTGCATTTTTTATATTCTTGTTGAGCAAATAAGAGGTGTTATTTTATTTCTTTAGTTACGAACAAGCTGACGTTTCGGCTTGTTCGCCTTCCATAGGGCCTGGAATGGTCAAGTTGACAGCAATCTACTCAGCCCTGTAAGTATAGAAATAAAGTAGCATCTCGCGTTTGCTCAACAAGAATATAAAGAATATTACTCTGCATTTTATTTGACTAGCGTTTTATTGTGTGGTGCGTGTAGCACAGTAGTCGGAGGCCCGCTGCACGTGGGATCACGTGGGATCGATCTCAGCGCCTCAGGCTTACCAAGCCCTCTGTCCCGTCGGAGTTGGCAAATTGGTACCGAACTTATCTAAGAGAATAGTAGCACTGGCTCGATACATTGGTAGGCCATCACGAGTCGTTGTAAAGGCCAGATATGCATTTAGTCACCTTTAAACAGTGCTTATTGAAGTCGAATGCATGGCACATTCCTCAAGATTGATCAGTGCTGAGAGGTCTAGGGTTTTTTAGCTATCTGTTGTTAACTATAAGACCATCACAAATATTGCCTTTCATGGGGCACTCTTGTGAGTGTTCATTGCTTAGCAATCACTCATCATAACAATAGGAATATTGTGAAATAACAAAATATTATCCCTTTATTTGTGTACTAATTTGTTAATTTCTCAGACCATGTGCCTAAAATTTGTCAGCTATTTGCAGATAATAGTTGTCGCTTCAGTTCTATGGCATTTGCATGGTTTCAGATTATCAAAGCTATCCTGAAAAATCCCATTGATCGAACCCGTATTAGTCTACTGTTTGCCAACCAATCAGAGGAAGATATCTTGTGTAGGTACTGTTCTAACAATGCCTGTCCTTCGCGTCTAAAGCTGTATTTTTTTCTATTTCATCATTTAGGAAGGAACTGGATGAACTAGCTGCTGACCACAGTGACAGTTTCAGCGTTTGGTATACTGTTGACCGTCCTCCCGAAAACTGGAAGTACTCCAGCGGATTTATAAATGACCAAATGATAAAGGCTCGTTTGTTTTCACGTTTAATCAAGCTTATGTAACTCAAGCCTCCCAACGGTTTGCCGACTCATCGTGGCTGGTACGTGTTCCTGGGTGTCGGGTGCGGTGTTCAGCGATGGGATTCTTCCCACTACTAGGGTTTCTCAAGCTGAACGGGAGTCAGCATTTCCACCAGGAAGCCCAGCTAAGAGTAAGGCAATACCATGATCCACCACCATCCTGGTATCAAACTAGTTGCATCATGGCACCTACAAGGGTGGCGACTGCCTTGGGTGGTGGGGACCTGGGGCAGACTTCAGCTAGGCTGACTTCGGGTCTCCAGGGAACCACACTGGCTAAAACCAGCTAATCTCCGAAAAATGGACATTATGCAGGGGTTTGCACATTAGTGGACATGGACCATCCAAATATAAAACAAGTAATTATATAACTCATGAAATTTCAATGTTTAGAGAACTTTTCATTTTAGGAACATCTTCCAGCACCGTCAGAGGACTGTGTAGTTCTCTTGTGTGGTCCTCCTCCAATGATCAATTTTGCCTGTACTCCTAATTTAGACAAACTCGCCTATGATCCGAAAAATAGATTCCAGTTTTAGGTAGCTTTATCAGGACAAAAATCGGTTATTTTGCTTTCCTTTTGTTTTGTTTTGTATTCTCATGTTATCCGGTGCAGTTTCTTAGCATTCCCCACTGATTCACACATTGGTATAGCCTTGATACGAAAATACATTACGGAAATTTTCATACACTTAAAACTTATACTCTTTGCTGTTGATTTCATGCTAAAATCCTTCTGAGACCTAGAAGAATGCTTTACTATACGGATGATTGTGTACGATTTCTGGGTGCACTTTGAAATCCATAACAGTTGAATCTCCAGCATAGACTATGTAGGCGGTTTTTTCCGTTTTCCTTAAGGTAATTGAAATGCCTGATAGTGTCCGAAGTACTTCCTGAAGGAGCAGCTTGAGTTGTCACTTCTTCATCAGATTGTTCATGTGTTAGTTTTGTAGCACTTAATCTTGCTCGTTTACTTATAAATAGGCCTTTTTAACTGTCTTGGTGTTTTCAGCATGCCGTGAAATTTTTCCCAACCGGGGTTTCCTCAACGTTTAATATCCTCCAAATTCTATTTACTTTCGAGATAACATTAAACTGCATTGTTTGACTTTTTGTTTACTGCCTATTATTTTTTTATGGCAGGGTATTATATAAGATAAAGCCCCGGAAAGAGTAACACGGGTACAAGTCTGGGCTGGAGTCCAAACCTTTCAGATATCTCAATATAAGATCATTTGTTGAACTACTGGTGAATTTCGAAACTTTTTGTTAGTTCACGTCAAATCATGGTGTTTCGAGGTTATATTGGGCCATTTGGCGCACGAATGGTGGATCTCGAGCGTTTTGCTACTGAGCGTTACTGCTTAACAAAATGTCTATCGATCTATCAACTTCTGTCGTAGTGGGAAATTGATATTATTGAACCATCTGTACAGTAGGTGTTAGCTCATATGAACCCAAAAAGTACTCGACCTAAAATGGACACGAACGTCGAGGTGGTACTTATCAGCTTGTTTGCAGAAGAAACTAGCCACTTCATATTGCATTAAACTTATGAAAGCATTGCAGCAAACTCTAGCTTAGAACTAGAGGGAGTCTCATGCAGCAACCCATCATCTTATCCTGCACAACTTACAGGGAACAAGCGCTAGTATACTTATATTCTTAAATTTGTCTGAATTACTTGGCGATGCGTAATTCTAAGAGAGTTCTTAGCCATGTAGAACTTACAAGGATCTTAATGCGTTGGAATCAAGCAAAGTCGTTATACAATCTAACGTTGTGGATAACTTTCAGCAAAACTAATTACATTATCAACGATGATAAGGCCTTGAAGGAGTGCTTGGTTCTTCTGCAGTGATGGTGGTGGGAAGTTCTACCGCCTTTTTTTGATCGTTGAGTGAAGTGATGATAGAATTACAGTTGCGACATATTTTCACCTGATGTTATGTTCATATATATGTGCACATGATATCTATATGTAGTGAAACAATGATAATCATTTATAGGGGACGTTGGCAAGTTCGCTGAAGTTTACTGCTTGCCCAGAAATGTGAAGTCAAGCAACCTATATTGTTCTGCGTTTTATACACATAGACAGAAGTTTGCTTCAATCAGTATGAATTCTATACGGGTATAAACATCCGGGATATCTTCATGAACAGCATTATTGCTGTTATGAGGAGCCCTAGGTGTTCATGGGTATTCAACCGTGATGCACATTGAGGACCATTCTTACAGCATGGTTTCGGAAGCTGGAATAAAGTGTGAACATTCCATTTGGAAGCAAAGTCAAGAAGAAACCAATGTAAAGAGCCACCGCTGTCTTAGGAGCAACCTAATCAAAGGTGGTGAATCTCCCTTTGATCCAGGGGAAATAACGACTAGCCGTGGTGAGGACTTCGGAAAACAGCTATTGCAAGGGTGCTGGGAAAGGAAATGTTATCGAACTAACAAGTTAAGAATGGACTGAAAGTTGTATTGAGGCCCACATGGTTCGTAGGACTAATGAAAATAGGCTATCCAGTTACAACATAACTACTAGAATATTTCTGTAATACTGCAATATTGTCCCTAATCAAAATTCTCTGTTCATTGTTGTACAAAGGGCATCTCTCTTGTACCTTGAAATAATTGAAAACAGCTACAAGGGAATCATTTTACAAAGGTTGGGTAGAAAATCGACAGTTGTTTTCTACAAGTTTGCTGTAGTTACATAACCGACGAGACATGTGTAACGCAGTGGTTAGAGGTGCCTTGCCGCACACACGTGAACTCTGGTTCGATCTTGCGCCTTCAGCTCACCAAGTTCTCCATCGCTCTGGAGTCGAAAAATTGCTACCAAACTCCTCTGGGAGGATGACAGCATTGACTCGCAATATCGCTACGCTATCGCAAGTCATTGTAGAGGTCAGACACATTCAATCACCTCTAATTCGATTTACTTCAATCACATCATCACGATACTTTACGAAGTCGAATCCATGGGACATCTCACAAAGAGTGGTCGACGTCGAACTATTTATTCTTTTTATTAAGACACGGCTTACCGTTCTAACTAAGAAATGTCTCCTTATCAGCACCTTTCTTCCTAATAAAGGGATTTCACACCAATTAGTCGCGAGGCAACGTCGCGCATCCATAGGTGTTCGACGGGAGGTTAATTGCAGACCAAAAGCGACCTTTGCTTCCCCGAAACGAAGACAGATCCAGTGGATGATTTCCCTCTATCTGCTGCGCCCATTTGGGACACATATTCTGCATTTATGAGGAAGGATTCATAGGTGCGTTCTCGCCTATGCGGATTGTATTCTACGAGTCAATTCGGCGAAAAGGCTACAATGAAGTGACTGCGAAGTACATGGGAGGTGGTTATGAGTCGTTTCGACCAAAGAAGCTGCTCGGAGAGAGACTAGTTAGGTACCCGTGAGTGTACCCAGCGCCTACGTAAAGTGCTCAGCAAGCTATATGTGGGTGTCAGAGACGCTAAACACAATAAAATAAACGGGCGTCATTCTCCTGACCTCCGAAAGAGCTCCAACACGCCAGTATTAGATAAGGCAAATACGAAAAGGCCGCTAAAGTCTCAGGGCCTTTCTATGTTGCCTAAGTCGCGAAGGACTAAGGCTACGATATATACCTACAATGCACGTTCACTTGCATCTTATCCTCGATATAGGACTTGATCATGCAGGCAACTAGGACATGGGATGATTTCATCGGACTGGCTGAGACGAGAAGGGATCATTCAAGGTGGTCTATGGCACCTGGGAAGAAGTGTTCCCCAGGACATGCGACAATGGGGGATTCGGCGGCGTCGGCGTTCTCGTCAACGCGAGTTTGGCCACGAACATCGATTCATTCGAACAACTAACAACCCAGAGCGGACGTTTACTGTTGAAGAGATGTGGGTTAATACCGACTTTGACAATCATCTTCGCCTATGCATCGACACCAAGCGTGAAGTCGAAGCGCTCCATACGGACTTTGAGAAGTTCTACACAGCAGACCATACATTTTTTAAGGTCACCATTGGAGATTTTAACGCTACAATTGTACCGAGAAGAACGTTTGAAGAACGTCCTTGAGTATCCTACTAGAAGGTACCGTAATGAAATAGACCACATCGTAGTAAATCGAAGGTTTTACGCCACCGACATTGCTGTTGTTCCAAAATTCTGCACGGGATCAGAACATCGCTTCTATGCAAAATTTAATTCCTCGCAGAAAGGAGAAAAAACGCCAAATTCAACAAAAGAAATCCCAAAACCACCGTAAACAAGGATTTATTCAGTTCATTAGTCGGCTGTTGGGAAGATACCGTTTTCGGTAACATCGAAGAGGAATGCGATCGACTCATTCGAAATGTCCACTCAGCGTTTTTGAACGCACATGCGAAAGGACGATGCTAAGAGTATCCTATATCACGCAAGTGAGGTAGTACAGCCGAAGTACCGTACTGCGTCAACGATCAAAATCAAAAACGTCGTTCTATGTCCCAAATGGTCCAAAATATGGTGGACTGGACACGTAATGCGTGTGAGAGACTACCGATGAACAAAAGGTGTTAGTGGCTGGATTCTTGTCAAACGTGCTGGAGGAAGGCCACCGACGCGATGGTCAGAGTTTTGCACGAAAACCTTAAAAGAAAGATATGATGCTTGACGACTGCCTAGAAGGAGCAAAACCCACTGTACCCACCTTGCACGCAACAGGGGAAGTTGAAGATTTAGTGGCACTCGCTCGAGTCAACGGGACGTCAGAGTGATAGAGTGAACGAATAAGGAATGGCTGTTTATTAGGACGTTTGCATTATAATATGAGAAATTTTCTGAATTAGAACATCTTTCCGGCATCTAAAATTACTCCAGCGCTTGCAAAAAATTTTTTAACTAACATTGAAAAATTGGTACTTATGTATCCTTCTGTATCCTTCACTGATGTAGCTGTGATATTTGAATGATTTCACTATCGTAGCAACAGTATAGTGCAAAATTGGTTCTTGGTTAAAAGTACTAAATCAGTATTGAGAAAAACACTTGGAGAAAGTACTAGTTTTCCAATGTAATTACTCATTTAAGCTTACCAGTGACAGCGAAAGCGCAAATTAACAGTTGGGAGAGTTTCACGAAAAGAATTTACCTTTCCATAGGGTAGGGGGAAAATCTGGAGAAATGGGAGTGATTTATATATCGCTAGTATAAAAAGTGACGTGAGAAGCACTGTGTCTAGAGGTGTAGTGCAATACACGCACGATCGCTGATTCGATACCGTCTCAAGGCAACAGAGTATTCCATCCACCCGTACTCGGCAAATTGCTACCTGAATTATCTGGAAAAACACATTTTGATCTAAACGCGCGAGCCGCTTCCTATGATGAGGTTTTGGGAACGCTCAATCTGCACAACCTAACGCCGTGTAGGTCGCAGTAAACTCCAAAATTTACTAGTACTGTTTGGGAGAAGTCAGTTTGAATAGTCCAGTGGTGGTATCTTCGAAATAACACATGCGATCTTCGGCTAAAAATTCTTATATA